TTTATTTTAAAAGGTTCTTCATTTTGTTAAGTTGTCTAGAATAATAATAATAATAAAGCAGTCTTTAAAAAAAATAAGTCTAATAATTGGAACATTCTATAGGCATTTATAGTTGTTGACTTACCTTCTTGCAGCAAACAGCCTGATTAGCACAAGAAAAAAAAATCTGCCTCCCAGCAATTTGCCAAGTGGAGCAAACAGCAAGTTTAACTTTCATTTTCTCCCGATCATCTGTTACAGGCTGCAGGGATTGCTATAGCTTATTAAAGCCTCTGCAAGCCAGTTTGCTGCAAAGTGGTAAATTGCTGGGAGGCAGAGGCCAAATGGTTGGGGCCTGTGGGTGGGTGGGGCTACATTCAGTGTATAAGACGCACCCAAATTTTCACCCTCTTTTAGGGAGGGAAAAGGTGTTTCTTATACTCCGAAAAATACGTTATATCTTACTGTAAACCACCTAAATAAAGATATAAGACACTGAAAGTCATATAAGACACTGAAAGTCGTATTGCAGAGAATGCAAATATAGGTGTCCAGCACTGGGAAGGTAAGAAGAGGCCTTTCTTCAAATGAAGCACAATGAGGGTACCATGATCAAAACGTTGTCCCTTTTCAGATATTACATATCAAAAAGGAAGGGCCTCTAATCACACACACACAAAGCCATCTTGTCTTTTTTTAACCCTTCCTGCAGATCCTTTTGAAATACTCCCTTGAAGATCTTGCATAGCTCTACTAAGTGGACTAATGGTAGGATTCAGCTGTGCTGCTTCTGTGTCTCAATATTTAACTGACTAATAAATTTTGTAATTGACGTACAATGCTTTTTAACTTTGTTGTACAATGCCCAGAGTCACTTGATTTGTGGGATGGACAGTATATAAATTTAAAAAATCAATAGTTAAACTTATTTTAATAATATTTAATGTCAACATAAAAGACTAACCAATCAGGTATTTGAGCTTTCCTTTTACTGATAGAGTAGCACAGATTTATTGCCTGATTTTATTAATTTTTATTCCTGCCATTAATAGAATGAATCTCAATGAAGCTGTTGTTATATTTGTCTTCGATGTTGTTGATTAATATTGAAATCTTATTTCATAAATAAGCTTTTTGGGATGATATTTAATTGTACATACTGAAATCCCCTCCTCTCCCCCTTATCTAAATTGTAATCTCGAGGGCTAAATCTTCCATGAACATAAGATTTGATGATAATGATGATATTAAATGGATAATATTAATGACATTAAATGATTCAGCTATGGTTTTAACATCTTAAAAAGAGCACTATTAATACATCATGAAGCAATACATTTATTCCAAAGTGGACATTATATGAGACAATTTTTTTCTGAGAGATATTTTACTTACTAAAAATGCACTGAGTCCCTTTAGCAAGAGGGGAAGCATACTCTTGAAGAGAGAAGATGGGACACAGCATGTCTAAATGAATTTGAAGTTATGGGTAATTCTTAACCATTTTATATCAAGATCTATTTAACAGTTCCTAGAAATATATATTTCAAAGGAAAAACATTATTAGGGTGGTATGAATAACTCTAAAACTGAGCTATTTTTAGATATTTCCAATTGTGTTTGGGCTTTCAAGCAATTAAGCACACTGGGTCCCATCTATTAGACGTAATGGTATGTGGGAATGATTTTGGAAGACCCACAGCCTGAGCAATAGTCTGATAAGTGGTAACTCAGTTTGTAAGTGGGGGGAAATCATAGAAAGCATCTCAGAAGGAGCAATCCCTAGTTTACCAAAAAGTGAAAAGACAGTATAGGTGATATACTTTTAGTCTTGCAAAATTCTGTTAATGTAACCTTACAGTAAAAGGATTGCTGCATCTGGATGTCTTTGAACCAGCTTACAAGGCTGACACAGAAGGTGTCCCTTTGTTGCAGTGCCTGCTTTCTGAATGTTTTCCTTCCAGAGATTTGTGTGGTTCCCATTCTCACGGCATTTTGGAAATTACTAACCATTTGGTTATTTTCCCAGGTCATGGAACAGAGTGATTTTGGAGACTCTCTTAGTTTGACTTAGTTTATGTTATTATTATTGGCTATGCCTCTTGCCATTGAGCGTACCAAAATTTTGAGTACTTGAAACTGGAAACAATGAATAAACACCTGAAAAATATTTCTTGATTTCTGATTTGGAGCCCAGCTGTGGGATATCACATTGTACAACAGATGCATTTTTCTGTCTTAATTATTCTGTTGTCAAAAGAAAAACAATTTCCAGATTATAATCCATATTTGATTACTATAATCTCCCCATCATAAAAATCCACTTGGGGATGAAGTAGTAGAAATGTTTTATTTAAATACTGTTAGCATTACAGTGCTTCTTGGATTGGATTGGATTGGATTTATTCAGTTTGTAGGCTGCCTT